GAGGGCAGTGTCACTGGCCCTCATATGTGGGATCCGAACCGGGGCCCTCTGGCATCCCAAACCAGCTCTTAACCAATGCGCCACTCGGCCGGCCCAAGAACTTCTTTCTTTAGTGTGAATTATTTTCATAATACAGGTAATTTTTGTAAATGCCTGAGTTACATTCCTTTTATACAAGTCCAATCTTCATAAATTTGTTCATTTTCTCCTTTCCCTTCAACATGGACAAAAAGCTATGAGATAGATTTATAAAAATAGACTTACTACCATGCTGAGACTCAAGTGTGGCTCTTTCTTCTAGTTGAAGTAGCATGCTGAACACAGTAGGGTGCTCTAGGAAGAAACAAACAAATAATTGAACACAGCACTTTGAGCTGAGCTGTGCAACTAGACTTGGAGCTGAGCTTGCTGCGCCCTCCACAATGAAGGACAACAACTTAGCTGTTCCCCTTCCCCAATTTCCCAACACTGTTGCCCTCCCCCAATTCCCCAATTAAAAAAAAATAGCCAAAATTAAAAGCTGCAATCCATTCTTCTGTTTTTGTTTTGGTTGCTTTATCTCAACTCTTATCCACCTTGACTATTTTCAAAGAACAGCTCAAATAAAGTCATGTCCTGCCACTTACAAGCAAGGAGGCCCACAATTCTGAGAGAAATTAACCCAAGTTCACCCTACGCGAAGTGCAAGCCGGTGGAGCACAATGGGCCCTTGCTTGTACCACCGGGTCCGGGTCCCCAGGGTGGTCCAGGGTGGGCTTTTTCAGAATTCTGCCGCATGTGGAAGGAAATGTCGATGCAAGAACATGCAAACCTCTACAGAATTTTTATGAGTGTATTTGAGCCAAACTGACAACATGTGAGGGAGCAAGATCTCAAATGCTCTGCAGAATAACAGTTTCACAGCTTCTCTTACCCATTTGAAAGTAAGGAAGAAACATAAAGAAGATAACATGAAGGTGGGGGAAAGCAAGGCAAGGATGGGATTTCAGGAGAGCTAACAAGATTATGTGCTCTCTTGAGGATGGTCACTTGTTTCCAAAGTGTGTTAACCCAGATGCACAGAAACAATGGACAGGGTAGCTTAAGGCAAAGTTAAGCCTTTTAGTAAAGAAGTTATAGGCCAGGGGAGTGACCACCCACCATGACCTGCCAGTTAGGAATTTATGATCAGATCACCTGGTGAGGTTACTTTCCATAGAACCCCTCTTTTTGTCCACAGTGATCACTCGGGGTACCAAGCTCACAGATATCTGGGAAGGTTCTGGTTGGGGGTCATTCACTGACAACATACATTACCCATCTACTATATTCAGGCACTTTTCTAGACACTAAGATCACTCAATGAATGAAACAGATGGAATCCCTGGGCCTC